CCTCAACCCGCCTCAAAGCCAACGCTGATTGGACGTTCGTTTGGTGAACGGCTCCAAATTTTCTTCAAAGGAGAGTCTCCAGAAATGATCCGAGAGTTAAACCTTGAAAGCTCGCGAGATCAGGATGGTCTCACGAGGCTAAATAACAACTAGAGATTTTGAGCATGCTCCAAATCTCTCGATGTCCTAGCAGTGGGACGTGTCCCAGTGTGCTTCAGCTCATTACTTATACAAAACGTACGCATAACTTATCCAATGTATGCCAGCGTTTCGTACGACAGGCATACGCTGGCTTTACATCATAGAGGACAGAGGGAAAGAGCTTAACTTTCCTCTCTGATTGGAGTCCCTGTATGTTAGAGGCCATGACTAACTGAACAATAGGCACCAGTAGATGGTGGCTGGGTCAGTCCCTCTGCGCAGCTCAACCAGTTTGTCTCTGGTTGTGGTATCGAACAGACGGATGAGGGTTCCTTTGCGGGATGCCGAAGCTGCAACACTGCCCGGCTGGTTCAAGGCCACGCAGGCGATCTCACTCTGGTGGGCGTTGATGGTAAACGGTGCTGATGATGTGCCGGGTTTGGTGTTGGACAAGTCCTGAAAGACAGACAAAAATATTTTATAAGCCAAATACCTGATCTAGAATGACACATTCTTCCTTGATTTGCAACTTACAACCAGCTGGAGGCTTCCACATTTATGACCAGGAAATACCAGCAGCTGTTTCTCCAGACTGGGACATAGATCACAGATACCTGCAAGAAAGATCCATGTTTTCAAAGGTCGCACAGTGAAGGAAGGACAGAAATCTACCATCGAGAGAGAGGTGTCACCTTTGGGGTTATCTCTGGTGTCAAATTCAAAAAGCTTGACAGGGTTGTTTGGAAAACTGTACACAAAGATCTTGTTCTTCAACACAATGATGATCCTGCAACGACAGGTGTTCTCATTTAGCTGCTGTGATCTGTGCATCTGGACAAGGAGCATCAACAGAAAAAAGGCTGAGGGGAGAGGAGCCTCACTTGTCGTGTCTCATGCGGACGGCTAGAACAGGTTTGGTGAAGGTGAACTCAAGCACCAGCTTATCTTTGGAGTCCCGGGATTCTCGAGCATCATCCCAGATCAGAACTTAAACAAAAAAATGTGTTTGTTTTATTCACAGGAAAGAAAATAAAAAAGGAGGAAATAGATTAAATAAAAACTATTCAGGTCGGAAGACACCGACTCACCGGATATTTCTGAGAATTTAGGATTCACTCCACCTCCAACCAAGGCCAGCAGGTTGGAGCGATGCAGCATGGAGCACAGAGCTACACTGCCTACCTGCTCATGATCTGCAGACAAAACAGGTAAAAAAGGCTGATTGGCAGCAGCATTAACACAGTTGACATCATGACAAGAACAAAGGTCTTGAGTCCGGAAAACACAGAATCTGATTTTGCGTCTGATCCGACAGAAAATCGTATCAGACGAGGT